TAGCATTTCAAATATAACTCAAAGGCTGGGAAAAGCAGGACTGCAGGGCTAATAGAGGACTTAACTATGCCCTTGCTCCAGGCACAGCTAGTCACCAACCAGAGTTGCATAGGGTGACTTCCTTGCTATGTAGTCAGCATCTGTATTTACTAGGGTGTTGACAGTCGTGGGGGCAGGGAAAGGGGGAAGCACTTTACTGGAAAAGGAAACACATTCCTTTGATCCGGCTCCCCAGCATTTGTGTAGATTGGGTGCTTTAGTGGGGCTTTTGGTGCTTTTATCTAAAAGGTGATTCAATCAGCTATTAGATAAAAGAGACCAAAAGACACACTGAAGTGCCTGATCTATACAGAAGTTGGGCAAGCTGGGTCAAACTAACACAATGCCTCTTTTGGGCATGTGTGCCAAGCTGAAAGTAAAGCAGTTTTATGTTGTTGGGTTTTTTTTCCACGTTTGTAAGCAATTCTCTGGATGCTGTGATATTGAGTGGGTATAAATCACAGGAGAGAATGACGGGGAAAGAGGATTAGTACTGAGGCAGTAAGAAGAATGTCAAAGGATGTTACAGCTGGTGAGTCACGGAGGGTAAAAGATGAGTGCAGATATTTAGAAACCTAGGCAAGATTTCTCACCATAGGTAACTGGACCTGCTGGGAAGGAGAAGGGAGTTGATTTAAGAACATTGTCCAGAGGATTTGAGAAGGTTTCTGGTCAAAAGCCAGAAGGGGTTGTAGTCCATGACTAAGGTTCCTGGGCACTGTAGTAATACAAATGAAACAGAATGGAAGGAAGACAGGACATGCTTGTGTTTCCAAACCAGCACCCAAGCCCATCACAAACCCATTTCTCAGTACAGGGATGTACAGTGTTCTAGACAAGCGCCTGACTCTCCACCCCAGTGCTATTATTTACTCCTGTGTAAAGGTATAACATGCTCCCTGGCTAACAGCTCCACTCATTCACACACACTGATGTACATCCACTTTTACAGCTGGAAGGCAGGAGGCAACCAGGTCCTCATTTTCTGAGGGAGTCATTCATGTGAAACTCAACAGTTTTCTAAGAGTTAGATTGCTCTGTCTCAAAAGCACACCTGGCTATTTCCAGGTTCTTAGGAGTCATGAGACAAGCAGCATTGTTAAACCCAGGAGTCCAAAAATCAGTCAGGTGGTAAGAAGCCTCGAAAGTGGTGGGGAAAAAAAAATCATAGGATTTTTAAAATCAACTGTATGTTTCTCATTGGCCTAATAGTTTCCGAGCCTGCACATACTGCCTATGCGTTAATCTGAGCCTCATCATATTTTCAGGCCTTTCTCTGCAATAGCAAGGGCTTGAAACATAATTTATATAGAGTGGAATCTGAGACTGCTGTAAGGTAACAGGACTCCATGAGCAAAACAGATATCACAGAGCCTGTGACAACACAGCAAGATTTGGCAGTGCAAGGTCAGGTGCTGCAGCTTCTTGCTGGTGCTTTGTTTGGGTTTCCTCCAGAGTGAGGAGCCCAGCAGCGATCTGTGACTTGTCCTGAGCAAAGGAGTCTCAGAAACACAGTGACATGGGAGCCCTGAAGAGCACCCCCTCTCGTGCTCCCCCAGCAGGAGCTGTGGCCTTTTCTTTTCCTCCAGACACAACCAGGCTCAGCTGTCTTTTTGCTATTGTGATTACTGTTTTTAAATTAAACTGTTGTCTGTTTCCTCAATGTAATTTCGAAGCTGCTGTGGTGATTGGATCCTGGCAGCAGTGGGACCACACTGAGGTGGGGAGCTAACAGGGATCCTCAGAAGCTATTCATTGCCTCAGACTAAGACCAACCCTTTCCTTCCCCTTCCTCTGACACCCTTTTGTTTGACATGAAGCATTGGCCCAGGGGTGCAAAGGATCCCAGGTGCAGCAATTAAACCCAAGGTATCTCGTTAATTATCCACCATCCTTTAACCAGAAGGATCCCCAACTTTCTCTGCATCTCTCTGCAGCCCAGTTTTAATAATATTATCGATCTAGCTTGGCAGATAAACATTAACAAAGTTACTACATGGAGTATCTGTGCACAGGATCAGATTTTGCCTATTAATGAAGTAAATCAATAAGCATGTCCATTTTGTATTTCTATCTGTCGTGCTCTCCGTGGGTATCTTTGTGCTTCCAGCCTGATCCAAATGCACACATACAAATCCAATTAGGCAGCATGATAGGTACAGACACACAAACATCACTCTTGCATCATTGTGAAGAAAAGTTTGGTGTGGACCTCAGTCTCATGTTTGTGGGGAATGGGTCAGCAGTGTCACAAACTAGTTAGAAAAACACTGGTACAGAAAACATCGTGTAAGAACATTTTTGTCACCAAACATAACACAGTTGCCTCTTGACTGTGAGAAATGAGAGCCCAGGTAATTGTGTAAACAGACATCCTTGTATGCCAGCCAACCCCAAACTATTCTGTAGCATAGGATGCATCTTTGTCATAGTGGAGAAAGTAACATAGCAGGCTCTGTGATCTAAATTATCCCTCGGTTTACAATCCCCAGTCCCTAAAGATATCAGGAAAAAAGCAAACGCTTGAAATAAAAAACAGGGTTTGACTCCAAAACAGACACAAACATGACCCTGTCCTAGTCAGTGCTTCTACTCCATGGGTGTTCAGTGTCACAGAACCAGATCTTAGTGGCACAAGTCTTCCACCATATTTCCGTTTGGCCCGGAGAAGCAGCACAGGTCAGGAGACAGTCCCTTCTGGAGTACCATCAACAGAATTGCAGACTAAGTTCCAGTTGGTGGCCTGTATTTAGTAGTAATGATGGGCAAGATGGAAAAAGCCTGGCTTGATCCCAGCCTGACTTTTGCAAGGCTGACAGTTAAAAATGAAAAAAAAAAACATCCTTCTACTTGGGTAGAGACTGAGCCCACTGGGTCCCAAGTTAATGTGCTATAATAAGCAATGGGCCACATGGGTCCACTGCTTTATATCCTTCCAGGGGGCCTCCTTGCTTCCTGGCTCACCACTCTGGTAGATGCCTCTGTCCCTGCCTCATCCAACCAAAGTGGATTTCTTAGAAGGAAATGTGGTAAATATTGTTCTTTGCATCTCCAATTCCAGGAGATGATTAAAGTCTGGTTAAGAAATCTTATCTTCAAATAGGTTAAAAACAATCTGCATCATGGCACTGAAAGCTGGTTGGCCCTTCATTAAGTTCTATTGTATTGTCAAAGGTGACAAGGGAATTCAGGAAAGTTGCCGCTATTTAGAAGGCACAGGGGACATGCACGGCATATGGGACACACATGGTTGCTGTTCCCTGAAGTGGACACAAGAAGCAGCAGCAGGACAAGGGAGGTGGACCCCAGAGACTCTGGCTGTTTTCAGTCAGAGAGGTGGGGGGAGCAGTGGCTGAGCAGAAAGAGCCCAGGGGCTACAGTTTAACTCCTCATGGGCTCCATGTGGCCTGTGGCTCCCAGTTGGACAGCCCTGTGCTATAGTATAGACATATTTGTATTCTTCTAGAGCTATACCTGCAAAAAAGAGGCCCTTGTCTGCCAGGACAGGTCCAGATTTCAATGGTTCCAAGTTCAGCACTCTCTTCCCCCTTCCCTGCTCATGGGGTAGACTGAGGCCCCCTACTTAGTTTCTTGCCACATTATGGTCAGCGGTGGACTCAAGGGAGAAGCAGAGTGGTCACGCCTAATGCGGTTGCTCTTTAAGAAGCTGTCATTCAGGCATGTCCCCCAGTGTGTTATACCCTTCAAGGTCCTCCCAGGCTTCTCAGTCCCTTCAGAATTCACAGCCGTGCCAAATGGCAGAGCTTGGATACGTACACAAGAAACAAGGATATGACCCACGTAGTGGAGTGGGATACACACGTGCACTGCACCTGAAGGATGGACTCTGGGTTTGCTCTATAGTTTTGCCAGTGGAACTTAGGTTCCTGTGGCAAAGCTGTGACCACACTGACAGGGCTCCTGTCAGGACAGAGTATCTTCTTTCTGCCAGAAAAGCAAAACCAGATATGCCAGCCACAGAGAAACCACAATAATGTATGAAGTGTGTTGTTCACTCTCCTGGCAGCCATGGCTCTCGTAACAGCTGGTGCCTCCCAGAGCTTACCAGCAGCCTTACCAGCAGAGCTGTTGTAGAGGAATTGTATGAAGTCACCAGAAGCCACCCAGGTAATTACGGTCACTCTAGTGCCAACTGTATGCCACCAGAAAGCCTGTAACGTAGACATTTCTTGGTACATTATGAAAGTGGAGTGATGTGCACCTGTGGGCAGCTCTGACATATCCCATCTGACAGTGGAAAGAAGTATTGCAGTCACCTGTAGTTAGAAACAATATCCATTCCAGACCAAATCCCTACTTTTCAAATGTGTCTTTATTGGTTGATTGATTTAGCTCATACCATATGAACTTTATTTTACAAGAACCTGCAGCTGGTTAGAACAACCATCACAGAAAAAATTTTCATCATTGCCTTGTACGATATTGGACTAGCGCAAAAACAGAGGTAAATGCCACGATCCAGTTAAAATAAACAAAAAAAATAGATAAACGAAATCAACATAAAACCCTACGTGTACCACACAGCTGAGGTTAGTCCCACAGATGTCACTTATAACCCAGCAGCGGTGTTGGGGAGGGAGAGGTCTGAACACAGAATCAAGCACTCCCAGTCTCAGATGCCTCTCCTCTGCGCGTGCATGACAGCATGCATGAGTGCAAGACAGCACGCGGACATTGCGTATGCAGGTAAGTGGGTGAGCAAGCATGAGCTTTGAGGAGAGAAGGACACAGTCCT